TATTCCTCAAGAACCTCCCTTTGTTATGTTTGCTGCAAGTTTTTCATTCACTGTGATTGCAGTAATGGAGTACTGTACTAACACCACACATTCTCCAATTATCTAGTCACTCTGACTAAAGAGAAGCCGGAACCATTTGCACGAAAGCTTGTGAAATGAGGAGAAGGGAATCTCCTGTTTTATCCATTCAAAATCTAGGAAAAATGAGGGAGAAGGAACATAACAACCTGCACCAGGAATTTTACCTCTTGGTGTAACAGCTATAGCCAGATACCCAAGAGCATAGCTAAAGCTGGAGATCTAGGACACGATCTATAGGCTGATACATTTGTATCAAATGCCCTGCTACTTAATGGGCTTAATGAATAAAGCTTCTTATAGCACAACATATGCCTTAAATTTGTATTTGGTAACATTGTTTCAGCTTCCTCAAGGGTGGTCATTAGTCGGACTTCATCTCTACACAGTTGGGAAATAATATTGTGCCTCTCTTCTAATTATCTACAAGGAAGATGACCCTTTTCTTCATTTAGTCCAACAATCAGGAATAGGTTATGTGCCTAATTTATTAACTGATCAGGTTCACTGATTACTGAGATGGTGGGATGGCATTGTGTAATTTTGCAACTTCAGATAAAATGCCATTCAGGAGGGCACTGAATCTCAGCCTTGTGTGCTGCTGACTCCACTCCAAGTACACTCATGGACTTGAACCTATTTTCCTCAGGTGCCTTGGCTATGCTGGTATTTATTTATTTGTTTATTTAATTTATATGCCACACCATCCAAAGTGACTCGGGGCAGTTAGCTGGGTTGCTGGTGGAGCAGAAACATTTGTGATCCTCCCAAAGTGCTTCTGTGATGTCCTTTCTGGATGAGACCACTTGCTCCTGAAATCCTAGGTAATCTTTCCTTCAGAGGTTTGATAAAGTAATTCACCAGTCTGCTTTTAGGTAAAATAGGCTTCACAAGGAACTGGGCACTGTACCAATAGCTTAAACCGTAAGACTTTCATGGGACCTTTTCGGAACAATACTGCCACCTATAGGGCATGCGCATATGAATCTATTCAAAATACGGTAATAGGTCAAAGTAGGCAATACTGTACTGTAAATTTAGTAGCACTTTCATGACTAAGAAACTTTATTTGTTTTTGTAGCTCACTTTATCAAAGGCATATAGCGGGTCAAAGCAGGGTTCCTGGAGAATCTAAGGAAATCAGCCCCAATCTGGCAGGGGAGGGATTATAGCTCCAACAAGTTCATAATAACTTAATTCATGGCATTAATGAAGTAATCAGAAAAAATGAGTAGCCATTTCTCATTGCATAATGCTGTCCATTCTTCTGGTTTATCATTCTTAATATAAATGTATCTCTATTTCATTTGTATTATAGTTATTGAACCTCACCCAGTCCAGTATGGTGTCACAGTAACCTATATGAGAGCTGGTGTGATATAGTAGTTGAGGTGCTGGACATGGTTTTCTATTGTTCGCCATCCTTTCAGGGATTCGGAGAATATTATCGCCCTCCTCCCTCAATTGTTTTTCTTTTAAATTTTCTCTCATGGGTCTCAGTTTCTAGTGGTTCCCTTCTCTGAAGCTGTTCCCAATTTTTACTGAAACCTGCTAAAAGTACAGAACCCGGAAAAGGCCACAATATTTGAGATGGGGTCTGACCAACATAAAATAAAGCGAACTTTCTAGTATAATTATTTTGTCATAGCTTTAAATTGCATTTTAATTTTTGGCATTTACATAACAATACTGGTTCATTTTCAGATTGCACTCAACTGCTTTACCACATTTCCCCCCACAAGCATTAAGTCTCAAGCCAGGTATCCCCTATCCAATACCCAAATTTGTTTTTTAAGTGAAACAGTTGCATTTATTTCATCTATATTTTAATTCCAATAATTTCAGTCCATTTCTCTACCCTACAATTTTGAATTTTATCTTTATTATTTAGCCTTAGCTATTCTACTCAGTGTTCTATCAGCAGCAAATCTGATAAACATTCTCTTCAGCACCTATCTGTCATTAATAAAAATATTGAATAATACAAAAACAAGGGATAAACCCTTGATTCCTCTCTCCAATGAGGCAGAGTGATGCGCAACCATTGAGCACTCAATAAGAATTTTGTCACCTCTATATCCACTTAACTGTTACACCACCAAATTCACACTTAATTAGCTTGATAATCAAAATATCATGAGCTACTTTGTCATACTTATATTATTTACTAGATATACTGTATGCTTTCTTGAAATTTAGATATACTATACTACTCAAATATAATACTTCAAGAGAAAGATAGATGTATGTATGTATGTATGTATGCATGTATGTATGTATCAAACTTCTAAACCACCAATCTGCCTCATAGAGGTTTCTCTAATTTGGACTGATCACCCCACTTCAAATCAGAGTGACCAAGGGATGTTGTAATAATTCTAAATTCAGACTTTCCATAAGTGAGGGCAACTGGTTTCCAGCATATACATCTTGCTAGAAGAAAAAAATTGTCATCAATTTACCCTTACGTGTTCAAGTAGCACTTCTAACCTTGTCCTTTATAGGAGGCACTAGAACCATGTAAGAGAAGAGAAAGTGATGAAAATTGACATCCTGCTTCTTATAAAAAGAGTTGAAGTTGTCAAAAAATGCAACAAGTTAGATCAATTTGGGAAAGTTGCAGGACTTAAAATTAATAGGGAAAAAATGAAATTAATAACTAAAAATTTAACAGAAAACAAAAACTAAAATTGGAAAGGATAATGGGATTACAAATAGTGAAAAAAGTTAAATACTTAGGAATTTGGTTGACGGCTCAATGCAAAACGCTAATGGAAAATAATTATAATAAATTATTACAGCAAGTCAAAAAAGATTTAGAGATATGGGTTAAATTGCAAATCTCCTTATTAGGGAGGATTGCCACTATAAAAATGAACATTCTGCCCAAATTTATTTACTTATTCCAAACAATACCAATAAAAATACACAAAAATTACTTTGTGGAACTTAACAAGATAATCACCAAATTTATTTGGCAAGGGAAAAAACCGAGGATAAACCTAAAGGCAATGCAAGATATGAAGAGCAGGGGACGTATGGCACTCCCAAATTGGGAATTATACTATAGTGCAGCCTCCTTACTTTGATTGAAAGAATGGGTAAATTTGTCGAATAAAAGAATCTTATTTCTAGAAGGCCATGACTTAGAGGGGATGGCACACATTTTTCTGGGACACTGGAAAAATTAAGCAGAAGTATTTCCACAGACATATAATTAGAGATTCTTTATTGGCTAATTGGAACAAAATAAATTAAAACATTATCTAAAAATCCCAATCTGGATCTCAACGATGGAGGCGATGATACATCCAAATAATCTAGATCTTAATAAAATGATAAAATACGAAGACTTTCTTGATGCACAAGGAACTTTAAAATCATGGCAAGATCTCCAAGAACAAAGGCTACAAGTAGACCAGTGGACTTACCTGCAAATTCAAAATAGATATAGCCAGGACAAGAAAATTTTTGGAATTTATGCTAAGCTACAACAATTAGATAAAATCCTATTAGGCCCAGATAAAAAAAAAATAACAAAATTTTATAATTATTTATTAGAGATAGAATTAGAAGAGGAAGTAGTCAAAGGCAACATGATAGCTTGGAGTAGAAATATAGGACGTAATATTACATTATTAGAATGGGAAAAGGTCTGGACAAGGAATAATAAAATTACAAA